TTTGGGTCCTCTGTTTCTGGACTGTAAGATTAACTGCTCCCCCCTTTATGTTACAAAACTCCTTCCTTATTTGTGTCAATTGCAATTAGTCGTGATAACAACTACTCACTATTGATTCATAAGAATCTTATCTCCATCTCCTTTCACCAGACCCATCTAGACAAGATGAAAACTATTCAGTGGGGACTCTACCTTCCCCTGCACAGTCTTAAACTCCCTCTTGAAAACTTGTAAGCCAGTCACTTAGTGCCTTTATTGCCCCCTCATTTTAGATAGCCAATGTCTAAGTTGCCCATCCCTATCTACCTTGTACACAGAGGGGATAGGATTGATATTTGATGTGAAGACTCCTTCCCTCTCAGTTGGTATTTTGAGCTACCACATCCATAAGTATAAGGAACTCTGGTAGCATTGTTGTTGTTGTTAAGTGCCGTTGAGTCGGTTCCGACCCATAGCGACCCTGTACAGAGTTTCCAAGGGTGTAAATCTTTACGGGAGTAGAAAGCCTCATCTTTCTCCCACGGAGCAGATCCTTAATGGAGCTCTGGTAGCGTAGTGGTTACGAATTGGGCTGCTAACCTCAGGGTCAGCAGTTCTAAGCTACCAGCTGTTCTGTGGGAGAAAGTTGAAGCTTTCTACTCCTGGAAAGATTTACAGCCTCGGAAACCCTGTACAGGGTCATTATGAATCAGAACTGACTCCACGGTATATAAGTATAGGTCAAGTTCATCAAATTGTCGCAATTTACACTTGTTTCCTTTATCAAAAATTGTTTTTTTAATCTTTCTGTAGTCCCCCATCTTTTTCTTATTAAAGAGTCAATCATTATTCCATCTTCATGCTGAGCAAGTAATCCAAGAAGCAGAATTATATGAAGAAAAACGTGGCATCAGGATTGGAGGAAAACTCATTAACAACCTGTGATATATATATGATACAACTTGCTGAAAGCGAAGAGGACTTAAAATACACTGGGTTGTCCTGAATGTAGAGAAAACAAGAATCCTTGTCACTGGACCCATAAATAACATCATGATAAATGTAGAAAAGATTGAAATGATCAAAGGCTTCAATTTGCTTGTATCCCCTATCAATGCTCATAGACACAGCAGTCAAGAAATCAAACGACATATTGAATTAGGCAAATCTGCTGCACAAGACCTCTTTAAAGAGTTGAATAGCAAGATACCAGCTTGAGGACTAAGGTGTGCTTGACTGAGGCCATGGTATTGTCAGTAGCCTCATATGCTTGTGAATGTTGGACAATGAATAAGGAAGACCACAGAAGATTTGATGCATTCGAGTTATGGTGTTGGAGGGGAATGATATTAAAACTACATGGACTGCCAGAAGAACAAACAAATCTGTGTGGGAAGAAACACAGCCAGAATGCTCCTTAGATGCCAGGATGATGAGACTTTGTCTCTCGTACTACGGACATATTATTAAGGAGCACCTGTTTTTTTTCTGTTGTGCATAAGGTCACTATGAGTCAAAACTTACTGGAAGGCACCTAATAACAACAGCAACAATGGGGACACTATGTCTAATACATGTTGTTTCTCCAAAATGCTAAGCACTTTGTCTTAAACAGAATACAAATAAAAACAAAATTTATTATTGCCATGGAGTGAATTACTTCATATGCCTCTTCTACCTGTAATCTTTGCAGCTCCCACCAAACAAAAGATTTCCTGATGGGTCTAGATAAGGGGGAGGTAGGAGAAGATGGTGATGGATTATATGATTCCATTGTGAGTGATTTTTAACAGGGTTAATTGCATAAACTTGGAACTCTAATGTGCGTATAAAATGAGTCATCTCAGAAGCAGGAGGGGAATCTCAGTACCATCAAATGAGAACAGGTAGTGGACTATGACCGTGGACTCTGAGATCCCCATGCAGTAAGCCTCCTTGATACAGGGAAAGAATGCGGTGATACTGGAGGAATGGCAGAGCAACTGCAGAACTATGAACCAGAGCACTGGACAGACAGAGGGGTAGCTTCCCAGCTGATAGAATAAGAAAACTGAGTAACTCGGGGCAGGAGGCTCACTAGTGGACTAAAGTGCCTTTAGGAAATAGTTGGGGAGCTAGGTTCACTGACCCATGGAGTTAAGTGTCTTTGGGTTTAGGAGTGGAGTGCCCTTTGGGCATTTATTGTTGTTGTTCAAGTGCCTTCGAGTCGGTTCCGACCCATAGCAACCCTGTACAGGGTTTCCAAGGAGCATCTGGTGAGCTTGAACTGCCAACCTAGCAGTTCAAATGGCAATTTATTATCAGCCGTAAAAGAGCTTTATAATTGCCAGAACAGGGAAGAGGCGAGGCCAAGGGGCAGAGCACTAGAGAGACTTGCATGTAGGTGTAGCAGAGAAATTATGTTTGCCAGAAACTCTGTATCCTGAGCATTTTCTGATCTGCATTGTAATCTCCTAACTTCCCTAATAAGCCCCATAACTGTGAATATGGTGTCTGAGTTCTGTGTGGCCACTGCGATGAATTATTGAACACAGCTGAGTAAAGAGTACTGTGAGCGAGCTGGTGGTGCTGGTGGGAATCATGTGCCGTGGAGTCAGTTCCGACTCATAGTGACCCTGCACAGGGTTTCCGAGGCTGTAAATCTTTACGGGAGCAGAAAGCCTCATCTTTCTTCTGTGAAACAGCTGGTAGTTTCGAACTGGTGACTTTGAGGTTAGCAGCCCAACTCGTAACCACTACGCTACCAGAGCTCCTTGTGAGAGGGATAGTTGATGCCAATTTTGCAGTTGCCCTAACGTTGATACCGCCTCATGGTGATGCTGTGTGTATTAGAGTAGAACTGCTTGATAGAAAAGAAAATGTTTGGGCTTACCTCTTTTATTAAAGCAAATCACCAGGACTTTCTTCCATGGCAACAGTTGCTGGGGTCAGACTTCTAACCTTTATGTTAGTAGTTAAGCACAAACCATTTGTTCCACCCAGAATAGATGCACAAAAATGTTTACTGTCTTTATTAATAATTTAATAGTGCTATAACACTTCTCTCTGCCTGTATATAACATAGTAAGTTTACTTAGTTCCTTCCATCTGATTGTTATAAATGATGCTAATTTTTCTCAGGATTGTTCCATTTGGATTTTAAACTTGTTTTATAACAGGAGAAATGTAGACAGGAAACTTTATGAGTTGCCCACTTGGTCCTAGGTTTGTGCTTGACTGCCAAAAATTAAAATGGAGAATTTTTAGATCTTTATTTGGAAAATAAAGTGTATTTAGGAAGAAGTATTTGTTTTAACTGTTGATGTTGCTAAGTGTTTAGTGTTTAGAGTTTGTTTAGGTTTTCCAAGGAGCTGGTGGGTTTAAACCACCAATCTCATGGTTATCACACCAGAACTCCTTGTTTTAAATTGTGTTGTCGAGTAAGTTCCAACTCATAGCGACCCTTATAGGGTTTCTTTGGAGCAGATGGTGGGTTTGAACAGCCAACCTTGTGGGACTCAGTCCAGTGGTGACCCTACAGGGCTATACCAGGTCTAAATTCTTTATGATTGTGAAGCAAAGAACTGAAATACAACACTGGGAAACTCATGTATTAAAATCTGTATGCATAGCTTATGTAAGCAAATTAAATTTGTAAAATTTTAAAGAAAATTCAATTTTACCTGGGCATAGTGTTACACAACAGAGGACTCGTGTAGCTCTGTAGGATAAGTGAAGGACTGCAATGCTGGTTTGAACCACAAGTTCGGCAGTTCAAACTTACCAGCTGTGGCCCTTATGAATCAGAACCAACTCTATGACACTGAACAACAACAACAAGTGTTTTGCAAAACTTAAAAAATATTTGGTTGGGAAAATGGTTTAAAAGAATCTTGTAAAATTGAGAATTTGTTATGTGTTATAATGGTAGAGCTGGAAATAGAATTCTGTCATCTAAGATGCTGAAGTTAACTTTAAGGAAGTATGGATTGTGTAAGTCTTTGTGGATAGGGACTCTGTTTATTCAAATTGTTGGCGCTGAAATATTGCTTCACTCATGGACTCCTGGTGGGGGTGGCACTGTAGGATAAGCACTGGACTACAAGTTTGATTTGAATGGCATGGTCACAGTTCAAATTCCCCAGCCACTACTCAGAAACCCTACACAGGCTCACTGTGAGTTGGAAGCTACTGGATGGGACTTAACAACACCAACAGTGGTGCCTCACTAGGGTTCTTCTTTATCTCTTAGGGGCTGGTTCCTAATGGGTGATACACAGGAATCTGCATTTGGTAGCATGTCTAGCAAGCAGCCTACACCTTGGCTACTTGATTCTCACAGGGCAGTGGGGCAAGTGGAAATACCAAGTGGGGGAGCACTGGATCTAGATAAGCACTACTAGAAGCTAATGAGTTATACAGTTAAACTCACCATTGCTATTGAATCAATTTGGACTCATGGTAACCCTATGGGACAGACTAAAGCTGCTTCTTAGGGTGTGCGAGACTGTGAGTCTTTAAGGGAGCCAACAGTCTCATCTTTCTCCTATGGAGCAACTGGTGGATCTGAACCACTAATCTTGCGATTAGTAGCCCAGTGCCCAACCCGCAGTGTCACCAGGATCCCATGTGTTTAAAAACACTTGATATTGCACAGATAAGTATGCTACAAGTTGGAGATAGTTTTCAAAATCTCTGGTGACAATTGTTTATAAAAGAACTGAATCATTCCACTCCATTCTTGAGTAATGAACACAATTAATTGTGTGGTGGGGAATGTCAAAGTTTTTATCAGTGTCCAACAGATTGATACGTAGTATTGTGAGAATTGATATGACGATGTTTCTGATTATTGAAAAAATTAACTGATATTTCTATAAATGAAGGTGTCTGCTAACACATGGCAAAAAGAATGACGCTTCTGGTTTATCATGAACTAATTCAAGTGCACCTTGCAGGCAGCTCCCTTCTTTCGTGGATAGACTTTCCTACATGTGGGTGCCAGGGATACCTGATGCCACAGTTTCATGTTTTGTTTTCAGGATCAGTTCAGTGATATGCGAATCAACATAAACCAGGCGCCTGGGAACAGTCTGGACTTCGGGTTTACAGTAAAATGGGATTTTTCTGGGATCTTCGTAGCATCGGTTGAAGCAGGTAAATCTTAGATTTAGCTCTACTGAACTTCCTTCTCCTTTGGTGTCGCCCTGTGAAAACCATAGAAATGTGTTTATTTTTATATTGGAGGAGCTCACATGTATGCAAGCTGCCAATGTCAAGCTAGCAGACAGCCTCTCTTATGTGAGAGGGTTGCAGGTTACATGGCTTTATTCTCCTCACCTCATTCATTTTAATTTTGTCTAGTTTAATTTTATGGCCTTTATAGAATTTATCAAAATTTTAGGCTTACTATTTGAAAATGGTAACAAATAGATGCATAAAGGTCTTTATAGTGTTCAGCCGTGTTTTGTGGTATACATGTACTGTGTAACAAACAGATGTTTTTGATCGTTCTAAGACGTCTGTTGTCAAAGGAGTCTTCAGGATGCTTTGAGTTTTTTTAGAAGGCTTCCTCGTCCCTAATCCAGGGTTATACCAAGCCAAGCCAGGAAGTTCTTGTCAAAGTACTGCTATAAGGTCACAATGAAAATGAAACCTATTGTGTTTAAGAAGAGATCCCTTCCTTTACATACTCATCTATATAAAGTTATGGTGTTTAAGAAGAGATCCTTCCTTTACATACTCACCTATATAAAGTTGCATGTCAACACTGGTTATTTCTTTTCAATTTCAAAATAGCTTTAATTAGATTGTGGTATTTTGTTTGAACAGCAATTTTAAGAAGTTTCAAGCAACCATATTTTCTTCTGTTCTGTTTTCAAAGTGATTGTAGGTTTGGAAGCTTAATTGAAGTGCTATATATGTTACTTTCTTTATTTATTTTAAGGGGTTTACTCACAAAATTTTGCTATAAAGATGAGTTAATCATTCTTAAATGCTAGTGAAGATGTCTGCTGTAAAATAAAAATGTGTTTGAGTGTATGTTGTACACACTCAAATATTTATGAACTTTAAAAAAGCCAGTGACTTTTCCTCCACTTATAAATAAAATATAAAACTTGATTAGTTGAGATGAATGTTATCATCTCTTGATTTAGATAAGCAGTGATAAGCAAGCAGGTTTTTTTGTTTCTTTGTTTACACTGGTTGTTGAATCTACTTTGCGTTGTTCAGGTAGTCCAGCAGAGTTCTCTCAGCTCCAGGTAGATGATGAAATTATTGCTATTAACAACACCAAGTTTGCATATAAAGACACAAAAGAGTGGGAGGAAGCCATGGCTCATGCTCAAGAAACTGGAAACTTAGTAATGGATGTCAGGCGTTACGGAAAGTCTGGTGAGTTGGGTTTACCACCATCTCTGGTTTACTGAATTGGTAACTGGTTTTGGCAAAGGGTTGTAACAGCTTGCTTCAATAACATCTATTTTTATTCCATTGTGCTGATTTTTTTTGGCATAAATGTGTTTTGTGGTTATGTTGTGACAAATCTTGACTATCTCCTTTAATAGTCTGTCAGAAATCTTTCGGACTAGCAAATATACTAAATTGTATATTTCTTACTGACTGAATTTTGTACTGGTCTGGCTTTGAGTACAAATACAAGCTGAAGGCTGCTGTAATTTTATCTGCATTCAGCAGTCAAAATACCTACAACTATTACTAAGCTTTATACTATGATTCTTGTTGATCTGGAGAAACTTTCCATATGCATTCCATTAATATTTTTCTTAGTTGTTGAGGTTAGATGGGGGAAGAACATTAAGTTAAATTATAGTATCAAAATACAATAATCAATTATGATTTATTGACTGGTTCAGTAAATTTGCTAGTCCTTTCATTATTAACATGATATAACCCTTGTGTTTTGGGGAAGGTGGTCTGTTGGCAAAAATTCTTATTCTCTATTTCACAAGTTGTCTGATTTGTTTGTCTGTCTTGTATATGTGTATTTTGTATATGTGCATTCAGTAACTTTGTTCTTTCCACTTCAATATTTATTTGTACTCATTACTTGACCTCCATGTGCCAATCAGACTGGGCCAAAGACCAACCTTCCCTGCCATTTACACGGCATAAAACCCTCAATCTCACCAGTATGGCTACCAAAATTATAGGTTCACCTGAAACAAAGTGGATTGATGCAACTTCTGGAATTTACAACTCAGAGAAATCTTCGAGTCTGTCCATAACGACTGATTTCTCCGAAAGCCTCCAAAATTCTGTAAGTACTTAGAGTAGTCAAAGCATTTGTGTAGAATAAGCAGTTATAGAAATTATTTAAAGGAAATTAATTTTTTTTTTTTAGACACATTTGATGCTTTTTTAAAATACAAATAACTGAATAAGGTAACTTAGAATTGTTGTTGTTGCCGTTAAGTGAAATTGAGTCAGTTCCAACTCATTGTGACCCTGTATAGGGTTTTCCGAGAAGTGGCTGGTGGGTCTGAATCTCTGACCTTGTGAGTAGCTCTCCAGTGCTTATCCTATAGTGCCACACCAAGACTCCAGATAATGCTTGTTCTTTTAAACTTAGAATAATGAGGATAAAATATACTTTTAAAAATAATAAGCCACTGCTGTTGAGATGATTAGGACTCATAGCAACCCTGCAGTCCAAGATAGAACTGCCTTACAGTGTTTCCAGGGCTGTACATCTTTAAGGAAACTGATTGCTACATCTTTTTCCCACAGAACAATTGGTGGGTTTGAACCACCAACCTTGGAGTTAGCAGCCAAGTTCTTAACCACTGTTAATACCATGTCTACTTCATAAGGCATTGTTGTTTTGTTTGTTAAGTGCCATTGAATTGGTCCCGACTCATAGTGACCCTGTACAGGTTTTCCAAGGCTGTAAATTTTTATAAGAGAAGAAAGTCTCCTCTTTCTTCAGCTGAGTGGCTGATGGGCTTGAACACCTGCCTTTTAGTTCCAGGTCCAGTACTTATCCTAAAGTGCCACCATGTGCTATAGGCATCATTCATTAGTAATCAGAGCAATTGGTTGGTTGGTTAGTTGGCTATGTACTTTGGAGTTGGTTATGACTCATAGCAACTCTGTACAGGGTTTCTGAGGCTGTGAATCTTTACGGGAGCAGAAAGCCTCATCTTTCTCCCATGTAACAGCTGGTAGCTTTGAACTGCTGACCTTGAGGCTAGCAGCCTGATTCGTAACCACTAGGCTACCAGAGTAATAGTGCTGCATTATTGTTGTTTAATGTTGTTGAGTCTATCCCCACTCATAGTGACCCTGTATAGGGTTTTCAAGAAGCAGCTGGTGGGCTTTTCAACTACCAACACTGTAGTTAGCAGTCTAGTGCTTTTCCTGCTTTATGCCATGGTAAAACCAAAAGATCCCATAATGTTGCTAGGGGATTTTTTTTTTTTTTTTTTTTTTCTAACCAATCATTCATCATTCTAGCCATCTCTCATTTTAAATTGTGAATGTGAAATAGTGCTTTTATAAAATTATAGACTATAGTTTTTCTGTGTTTTCTTTATTCTTTACTGCTAAAATAAAAGTAGTCATTGCAGTTTAAAACTTTATGCAGCATTTATAGTCCCCATGTATGTGAATTTGGTGGGAAAACAGATGTTCTTGAGAGATACTCAGTTAACATTAATTTTAAAATGATTATAAATTGTGTGTATTTTATGGTATGTGCATTATACTTTAATAAAGTTCCTAAAAGGGGGACAATTATAATTTTGTAAGTATGAAAGGAATACTTTTTCATATATAATTTTTTAAATGTACCTTCTGTTTATGATATGAATTTTTCTTTTAGATTTAATAATTAAGTGTACACTTTCAGTGACTTACTGCACTATTTTATTAACTTCCTTGTGATCATTATCTGTCTAAAACAAACCATTTTTATTTAATAAGAAGAACCTGCTGTATTGTGAAAGAAAGTTTTAAAGTGTTAGAGAATTCTAGATAATGCCTATTTTACGTCATCATAACTGCAAGGAGCTCTGGTAGCGTAGTGGTTACAAATCTGGCTACTAACCTCAAGGTCAGCAGTTCAAAACTACCAGCAGTTCCACGGGAGAAAGATGAGGCTTTCTGCTCCCATAAAGATTTACAGCTTTGGAAACCCTGTAAGGGTCACTATGGGTCGGAACCGACTCAAGAGCACTTACCATCCTGCAAGCCAAAGGGCTAGTGATTATTTTGTCCATCATATTTCTTTTAAACATTAGTGACTGATTGAAATTAAACCATCCTTGTCTGCAGCTGATCATTAAACCTTCTACAAATAATGAAGAATAATTTTTAAGTTTCTACTACATGTAAAGGAGTCCTGGTGTGGCACTGTGGGTTAATGCACTGGACTGCAAAGTCGGTTTGAACTGCAAGGTTGGCGGTCAAGTTCACCATTTGGTCCTCAGAAACCCTATACAGGGTCGCTATAAGTTGAAACCGACTTGATGGCCACAGTACCATCCTGAAACACTCACCTTCTTGGAAGATACTTTCATAAATGGGACTTACATTACTTACGTTCAGAAGTCCAGTTGAAGGTGATATTGTTAACCAATACTTAATTTTTTTCCAGAATACTGAATCTAAAGAAATCAATGGAATTCATGATGAAAGCAATACTTTTGAATCAAAAGGTAAACCTGACAATTATAACTTAAATTTATTATATAGGAAACACAATAGCACTCAAGTTCTGCTCTTATAAAAATTATTAAGTCAGTGAGAGCAAAACTGATCCATTGCAAGTTGAAACGAAAGGGTTAACACACAGATCCAATTGCAGCCAGGTGGAAGGGCATCCAGTCCAACAGTGGATAGCTCCACACCACAAGCATGGCTTCTGCAGCACCTTCCGAAGCTTTGAGTCCTATGTACTCGAGCCAAGTAACAAAGACTGGTTTTCAGGACTCCTTCACCTTCTCGCTATGATATGCTGGAAGAGAGAATCTTAACTTGAATTTGAAACTGTGAATGAAGTTTCTTTGTTCTCTTTATAGTTGTGAGAGGAACACACTTGGAGGCAGCTAGTCTTCATAGGGAAATGTCAACAAAAGTACTCATTTTTAAATGAAAAGTCAGAAAAATAATCTAAGGAAATTTTCTGTTGGGAGTTATCACTCTTCTTTTTCTGTCTATCCACAAATAAGTTAGCTACCACAAACTGTTTTTTTTTTGTTATGTACAATTAATAAGAAAGATGCTCTACAGACAGCAGTAAGATAAACTTACCATGGGCTTGGTTTGCACAGTGGCTTGGTTGGGTTTTAATTCATAATTGCCAGCTCATAATTCTTTATATTCAAAGTAATCCAAGTTTATAAATTTTCCTTTTGTTTTTGCTTATCTTTATAGTTTGTTTCAGGTTGTTAGGAGTGGCTATGTTTTAATTATGTCAAATTGCAATTTACCAAAGGAGTTTTGAATTGCATTTCTTCATGATATAAACTGAAGACATCTAGGTTGTGCTCTGCCATTGACAAAGGCAGAGCCTACTGATAAAAGAGAAAAAAGGCTAAGTTAAAAATAATCATGAACTGTGTGAAGCCTACCATTTTAGGATTTTGCTTAGAGGAGATATCAGCAACTTGTGTCAAGTAATAATAACTTTTTATGATTACAATGAGGTATAATACTCATCTACCACCTCTTGTAACAGCTCTGTGGGAGAAATCCGAATAATTTCTTTCTCTTTTTTTTCTGACTAAAGTCCATTTCCTTAAAGAAACTTGCAAGATTGAAGGACTAGGGCAAAGTATCCTATTTAGAATGAATGCTTTGATTTTAACTTTTTTTTCCCTTCTTTCTTTGGGTATCATTTGCTCTGTTACCCTCCTCCCCATTACTTTTTAACATAAGCTGAACATTTTAGATTCCATTTCCCTAAAGTGATGTGACCTGGCACAAAAGACCGCACTGACTTCTGATTCCTGTAGCTGAAATGATGATGCTATCTGCTCAAATGTATTAATTAAAACATTTGCTCTTTGTACTAATTTGAATGTGGTATATAGGCTACTAAAAATCTGTGTGTATGTTTGCATTGGAATAATCTGTATCTACTATAGCCATCTGTTTTGTCATTAAAAATAAAAAAGGATATTATTACTGTAGATTAGAAAGGTGTATCAAGTATTATGTAGTTTTCCAGTGGTGAGAGATCAAAGTGAATGACATGGTATTGATTGATTTTTGTTTTTTGTTGTTTTTTGTTTTTGTATTTTTTTCAACTAGAATCTGAACCTATTTCTTTGAAAAACTTAAAAAGGCGATCACAATTTTTTGAACAAGGTAAACCACCAAGTTAACAATTCATGCACTTTCATGGAATTGTTCCTACTTCCCACTCTTCCTCATAGTCTATGGTGCTGGGCACTCACTGAGCCTCTTCCGATTGGCTGTCATTGTGACCAAGCAACGTAACCCATTTCCATTCTTTCCCCAGGGTCACCAGGTTTTTCTTACAGTTCATGGGTCTACCTCTGTGGTAATGGGTCTTTGCGTGTCCTTTGTAAAAGTTTTTTGTTGGTTTTCCTTTTTAAACACACAATTCTTTCCACTGGTTAACAATAACAAATGAGACATTTAATATAAGCCTGACTGCTTCTTATGAATTGCATAGTATTAAATTACACCAACATAGAATTGACCAAGATTTTAAAATTCAAACTCATTTTTGATTGTGGAAAGTGTTGAAAATACTGATTCAAGAACAGAGATATTATCACTCTGTTGAGTTTGAAGTAAATAAAAAAAAAAAATTCTCTTTGACTACAACTGTGAACAAGAGCATTTTGAGGGCCTCTGTGTTGGTGTAGTTGGGTATAGAGCTGCCTTCCGCCTGCTATGCATGTGGCTTTTCTATGCTTTCACGTGTGTCTAATATTCTGTCTCATGAATGCGGTTCAAGCTCTGTGTTTTGCTCTCAGGAACTTAAAAGTAATAGGCAACGTTTGAGATGCAGTGGTACAGTTAGAGGAGAGTATGCTGTTGCTGCCTGAAAATGTATTGTTTTTTACATTTAATCTTATCTAAACATTTGCAAAATTGCCTTACTCTGTTATAGTTACTGGACTTGTGCATTTTGTGTTAATCACTAGTATTTTTCCTTTTGGCATATTAAAGGTGTTTAGTTTAGCGTATCTGCTGTACATGTTCAAGGTTTGTTTGTGTCAGTATCCTTAGTGGGGTTTATTTATTTTTGCTATTGTTTAGGCTTCTGTTTTTCTATAGTAATTTAATTAAAACAATATGATACTCCGAGCTCAAACTGGACTAACATAAGATAAATACATTTTTTCTGTACTCTAGTTTTCGCTTCCTTTTCTGTAACACACCATTCTAGGGAAGAATATTTTTCTAAGTTTCAAAGCAGTTTTCTTTAAAAAATTGTGTAAGTGAATAATTTATTTGATGGCAGCTGATGTTTCAGGAAATTTAAAAATACTGTGTGACAGTATATTTTCTGAAATTTGTTTACTTTATACATACACAATTATTTAGGGCCTCCTAAGGACAAAAAGAATAAAAACTATGTACGTTTACACATGAAGTTTCAACATGTGTGTTTCAAATAACAGGAGATGAAAATAGCTTGTTTCTAGAACATATTTGTTGTGGTGGCTTCATTATTAAAAGGAGTTTATCAGCAGAAAGACCTAAAAAAATGTGTCTTACAGCTGTTGCATTCTAACTGTGCAATGCCAAGCCAAAAATTAGTTTTGAGAGAGATATTATAGCATTTTATTTTTTTTTACTAGTTAGCCAATCTATGAAATGTACCAATTTTGTGAATTAAAAGCACCCTGAAACATGTTCAGAAATGTCATTTATCCAAACAGTACATAATTGTTTTACCTCCTCCCCACTCCTGCCCCCCCCCCAAAAAAAAATTCAAAGATACAACTTTGTATCTGAATGCTAACTATAAGTTAGGAAGCTGAGTAGCAAATAGATAAAAATCAAGAGAAAAGAGAATTTACTGTGCTGTTTTTTTGTTTTTATTTTTTAATTTTATTTTTTTTAAACAAAACAAAATGAAACGAAACAAAATCACTGAAGTCATTTAATATACTGGCATAGAGACAGCTTGTGACAAAATGGCTAGAAAGGAGTTACTTTGTAGAAATGCACACACTTACATTTGTTTATTTTTCCTTCCTTGTCCACTTTCTCTGATAACAGGAAGTACGGATTCTGTGGTTCCTGATGTAAGTAGTATTCACTTATTGTTTGGAATAAATATGGTGAACTTGGTAGGAATGAATTATTAGCACTTTGAGACATTCCTTATAATTCTTTAAGTTGCAGAGGAGTTTATCACATAGCAATACTTCTAAATAGAAATGACCAGTTTTGAGATGTTAAGTTTCTTTTCCCATGGGTACTGTTTAAACAAAGTGAAGTATGAATAATTTATGTATGATAAGGACATGAATTCTAGACATTATTGCCTCACCCAATTTTTGGCTGCATTATCATGAGACCAAAAGCAATGGATGTTCCCTACTACCCTTACTGAACTGTTTTGATCAAGGACCCAAGGGATGCATCCTGATGAAAAGGAGGAAAAGTGTAGAACAGAACTTTAAACTCATTCACCGGAAACCGGGCTTACTGGATCCACTGAGACGTTAGTTCTAAAGCCTTGAAAATAGTCATTAAACTCCTACATGAAGCTATCATTATTAAACTAAGCAACAGCTTATTCTAATTAATAAAGATTGTTTGTCTTGTGTCTGTATAAATAATTAGCTACAGTCATCCTACCATATCTGTAGGTACCACATCTGCAGATTAAACCAACTGCAGATCTAAAATGTTCAGAGGGGAATAAAAAGCAATTAAATGATCAAAGCAATCAATCCCTCAAAGGCTAAAGTGCTATTTATGTAGCATTTATGTTGTATTCAATATTACTGTAAGTAATATAGAGATGCTTTAACATATGCTTGGCAATGTACATAGTTTATATGCAAAAACTATACTTTTTAAAAATTTTTTTATAAAGGACTTGATCCATGAAGTTTTGTATCCACGGGGGCACTAGAACCAGTCCCCACAGATATCAAAGGACAGTTCTATATGAGTTCACATTGTTAGCAGATAATCAAAAGAACAGATGAGAACTTTATAGGAAACAGTGTAGACTAATCGTTGAATGAAGCAATAAGGGCTGAGATAGTGGAATCATTAACACAACGTGAAGTTAATGGAACGAATGTCCTGGAACTCATCCTGTAGAAATTGTTAATGGATGTATGTTTGGTTGTATGTATTTCCACCTAAAGTAAACAGCATAGTGGTTGCGAGTAGGGTTGCTAACCTCCAGGTCAGCAATTCGAAACTACCAGCTGTTCTGCGGTAGAAAGATGAGGCTTTCTGCTTCCATAAGGATTTACAGCCTTGGAAACCCTATACAGGGTCACTATGAGTCAAAATCTGCTCCACGGGATACCACCACCACCACCACCAAAATAGCTTATTAAAGAACAGAAAAACCTTATGTCAGCAAAATTGGTCCAGTAGATGAGTTAATGGCATGTTCTTCCTGTTTCCACTCCCTTTTTTCTAATTGACTAGCTTCCAGTTCCTACCATCAGTGCCCCGAGTCGCTGGGCATGGGATCCAGAGGAGGAGCGGAAGCGGCAGGAGAGATGGCAAAAGGAACAGGACCGTCTACTGCAGGTAAAGTGGGAAAATATGGACAAATCAGAGCCAGGCTTTTTCAGGTCTTTCACCTGGTCTGTGTCAACCAGGATTGAGAACCAAACATCTCAAAAAAAAAATCTACGTAGCCAGTAACCTCATAATTAACAAATCATTTTATATGTGGTACATTGTGTGTCAAACAAGTACTTTATTTACAATCTCAAAGACTCCCAGACTCATCCTTTTTAAAAATTATTACTTACTAATATAGTAGCTTCTTTATTATCATTAATCATTAAATTAGAGGGCATCAGGGATTTTAGTTTTGTAGATTTTCTCCTATGAATGAGACGTGTATAGTCTTTGTGAGGATTTAGCACCCATAAACGGTTTATTCACTTCATTGCAGAAAATTCAGCCCTCTGTCCCCAATAATTAACTAGCTATTTTAATGAATTACAGTCATTGTACAGGTTCAATTCTATTTAATGTTCCCAGTTTCTGTGTTTTTAAATGGAATGTAATCTATTCTGATTTAGGGGTTAAGATATAGTTGACTAAATGAAAATAAAAGCGCTGTCTTGAAAGGTTTGTATCATTTACCAGCCCCATTTCCATTGAGTCACTTCTGTGTAGTAGAGTAGAACTGTGCCCCATAGAGCTTTCAGTGGCTGGATTTTCAGAAGTAACTAATATGAAGGCTTAAAGATAGCAAAAATGCTGGTAGAAAAGATTCTCTTTACATCATGGATCTATGAAATGATTAGCATGTTATCTTTCTTTATAGGAAAAGTATCAACGTGAACAGGAGAAACTGAGAGAAGAGTGGCAAAGGGCTAAGCAAGAGGCTGAGAGAGAAAACTCCAAGTACTTGAATGAGGTAGTTTTGGAGCATGCCTTTTGAGTTTTTTACCTTCTCTGTACATTGTTGATAAATTATCAGAGAAACAGAAGATAGTACATTTCACTTGGCTTTTAGCTGCACCTTTATCTTTTTGTAGTTCTTTGAAACTCTGATTTGTTAGAATTTTGCTTTAATGTTTCAACTTTTCTCCAAGTTTCCATATAACGTCATTAAAAAATCATGCCAATACAACCGAAAATCATCTTCCTCTTCTAAGCTGTAGCCAAGTCACTTGAGTGGCATTCTTTAGAGGTAAAACTTTTCATGTCGCTTCTAATACAATTTTGAGTCAAGTACAAATATTGTTGTTGTTGTTAAGTACCGTTGAGTCGGTTCTGACCCATAGCGACCTTGTTTAGGGTTCCCGAGGAGCAGTGGTGAGCTTGAACTGCCGACCTTGCAGTTCGAACGGCTTTGCAGTCTGGTGCATTAACCCAGAGCGCCACACCAGGACTCCAAGTACAAATATAAGGGGTCATTAAAGTAAAAATGATTATGCAGTTTTCTATATAGAATTATAGAAATAAACAGATTTTCCATGTTGTTCCCCCCCCCCCCCACCGCCATTGGTCTTTTAGGAACTGATGGTCCTAAACTCAGACAGCATTTCTCTAACCATGCGGGAGCCCACCGTTGCCACCTGGGGTGAAGGGTCTAAGTCTTCTGACACAGAGGGAACCCGAGCAGGGGAGGAGGAGAGGAGACTTCAGCAAGAGGAAGATATTATCGACGACCAAAGGAGGAAGCTGAAGGAACAGCTCATTCTTGAAAATGAATGGAAGCTGGAGGAGCAACAAAATCAGGAGCAGAAACGTCTCCTGGACGAATTGGAGGAGCAGAAACAGCTCCAGGATGAGTTCGAGGAGCAGAAACGGCTCTTAGCCGAGTTCCAGGAGCAGAAACGACTCCAGGCCGAGTTGGAGGAGCACAAACGTCTCCAGGCCGAGTTGGAGGAGCACAAACGTCTCCAGGCCGAGTTGGAGGAGCAGAAACGGCGCCAGGCCGAGTTGGAGGAGCAGAAACGGCGCCAGGCCGAGTTGGAGGAGCAGAACCGGCGCCAGGCCGAGTTGGAGGAGCAGAACCGGCGCCAGGCCGAGTTGGAGGAGCAGAAACGTCTCCAGGCCGAGTTGGAGGAGCAGAAACGGCGCCAGGCTGAGTTCGAGGAGCACAAACGTCTCCAGGCCGAGTTCGAGGAGCAGAAACGGCGTGGAGAAGAACTGAAGCACCAGGCAGAACGAGAGAGGGAGACTTCAGTAAAAATATACCAGTATAGAAGGTCTGTCACCACAGCCACGGACTCGCGGGATTTTAATGAGCTTTGCTTAACATTACGCTTTCCTTACTGCAAAAGACACCTCTTGACTGTCCTGCTCTATCTTCAATTACCTAAACCAGGGAACACAAGCACCCCAAGGACATCTTTGAAATGTTCATCTGATCATGTCCTCTTAGTTTCCTGCCCAAAGTCCTCAAGATTCTCACTTTGGCCTACAAGGCTCATATGAGCTACATCTTGGCCTTCTTCCCTACACAACTTCCTACCACTCTTCCTGCCACTCAATCAGTTCTAGCTACACTCTTTCCCTTTTTATTCCTTGTAAACACCCAACATATTCTGCCTTTAGACTTTGGCACTTTGTAGTCCCTCTACCTGGACAAGTCTCTCAAATTTCTGCATATATTGTTGCTTACTCATTTCCTTCAAGTGTCTGCTCACATGTCACTTTCTCAGCCTTTCCGGAATTGTTGTTGCTGGGTGCCATTGAGTTGGTACCAACTCATAGCAACTTATGCACAGTAGAAGGAAACACTGCCCGATCCTGGCCCAACCTCACTGCTGTTGCCACGCTTGAGTCCATCGATGCTGCCACTTAGCCAGTCCATCTTGTTGGAGGTCTTCCTCTTTTTCTCTGACCCTCCACCCTACCAAACATGATATCCTTCTCCAGTGACTAGTCCCTCCTGACAATATGTCCAAAGTATGAGAGACCCAAGTTTGGCCACCTTGGCCTCCAAGGAGCACTCTGGCTGCACTTCTTCCAAAACGCATCTATTGGTTCTTTTGGCAGCCCATGGCACTTTCAATATTCTACTCCAACACCATAATTCAAATGCATCAATTCTTCTAGAGCCTTCCTTATTCACTGTCCAGCTTTCACATGCGAGTTTATTGAAAATACCATGACTTGAGTCAGGCGCATCTTAGTCCTCAAGATGACATCTTTGCTCTTCAACATTTTAAAAAAAGGTCTTGTGCAGCAGATTTGCCTAATGTAATACGTCATTTGATTTCTTGGCTGCTGCCTCCATGAGTGTTGATAAGTTGATCCAAGAAGAATGAAGTCCTTGACAACTTCAATCTTTTCTCTGTTGATAAAGAATGTTGTTTATTGGTCCAGGGGTTAGGATTTTTGTTTTCTTTATATTGAGATGTAATCCATACTGAAGGCTGTGCTCTTTGAGCTCCATCAGTAAATGTTTTAAGTCCTCTTCACTTTCAGCAAGCAAGGTTGTATCATCTGCATATTGCAGGTTGTTAATGAGTCTTCCTCCAATCCTGATGCCACGTTTTTCTTCATATAACCCAGCTTCTCGGATTATTTGCTCAGCATACAGTTTGAGTAAGTATGGTGAAAGAATACAACCTTTCCACACACCATTCTGAATTTTAAACCATTCAGTGTTCCCATGTTTTGTTTGAACACCTGCCTCTTGGTCCATGTAGATTCCTCGCAAGCACAATTAAGTGTTCCAGAATACTCATACTTCGCAATGTTGTCCATGGCTTGTCATGATCCACACAATCGAAAACCTTTGCATTGTCAGTAAAGCACAGGTAAAACTCTCTGTTTTCAGCCAAGATCCATTGGATATCAGCAATGATATCCCTTGTTCCACAGCCTCTTCTGAATCTGGCTTGAACCTCTGGAAGTTCTCTGTCAGTGTATGCTTGCAGCCATTTCTTTATTACCTTTAGTAAAACTTTACTCACATGAGATATCAAAGAGATTGTCCCATGATTTCTGCATTCCGTTGGGTCACAACTCTTTGGAATGGGCACAAATACAGATCTTTTCCAATTAGTCGACCAGATAATTGTCTTCCAAATTTCTTGGCAGAGATGAGTGAGTGCCTCCTGTGCCGCCTCACTTTCTTGAAAGATTTCAATGTTTATTCCATCAATTCCTGGTGCCTTTTTCTTTGCCAATTCCTTCAGTGCACATTGGACTTCCTTTTTCAGGATCATTGTCTCTTGGTCATATGATACCTCTTGAAATGGTTGAACATGAACCATTTCCTTTTGGTACAGTGCCTCTGTGTTTTCCTTCCATCTACTCTTGATGCTTTCTGCATCATTCAATAATTTGCCCAGAGAATCTTTCAATAACGAAAGCCAAGGCTTGAATTTTTTCTTCAGTTCCCCCAGCTTCAGAAATGCTGAGTGTGTTCTTCCTTTTTGGTTTTCTGATTCCAGATCTTTGCACATTTTGTTGTAATCATTGGCTTTATCTTCTCAAGCTGATCTTTGAAATTTTCTGTTCAGCTCTTGGACCTCCTCATTTCTTCCATTTGCTTTAGCATCTCTACAGTGGGTAGCAAGTTTTTCAGAGTGTCTTCTGACATCCATTTTGACCTTTTTCTTCTTTCTTGTCTTCGTAATGACTTTTTGCTTTCTTCATTTATGACGTTCTTGATGTCATCCCACAACTCTTCTGGTCTTCAGTCTTTAGTGTTTAATGTATTAAATCTGGTCGTCAGAGGATCTCTAAATTCAGGTGAGATATATTCAAGGTCATATTTTGGCTCTTGTGGACTTGTTTTCATTTTTCTTCAGCCTCAGTTTGAATTTGCGTATGAGTAAATGATGGTCTGTTCCACAGTCTGCCCCCACCTTGTTTTGACTGATGATATGGAGCTTTTCCATCGGCTCTTTCTGCAGATGTAGTCCATTTGATTTCTATGTATTCCATCTGGTGAGGTCCATGTGTATAGTCGTCTTTTATGTTGTCTAAAGAAGACATTTGGAATGAACAAATCATTGGTTTTGCAGATTCTATCATGCATTCTCCAGCATCATTTCTATCACCAAGGCCATAGTTTCCAACTACTGAGCCTTACTTCCTCTTTGCTCCCAACCTTTGCATTCCAATCACTGATAATGATCAATACATGTTGATTGCATGTTTGATCAATTTCAGATTGAAGAAACTGGTAGAATTCTTCTATTTCATCTTCACTGGCTTTAGTGGTTGGCGCATAAATTTGAATAATAGTGGTATTAACTTGGCTTCCCTGTATGCACATGGATATTATCCTATTACAGACAGTGTTGTACCTCATGATGGATCTGGATATGTTCTTTTTGACAATGAATGCAACACTATTCCTCTTCATTTTGTCATTTCTGGCATAGTAAACCATGTGGTCATCAGATTCAAAATGGCCAAGACCAGTCCATTTCAGCTCACTAATGCCTAAGATATCTATGTTTTTGCATTCCATTTCATTTGAATGGAACACATTTCCAAAATACCTGGTCTAAAATATTTGCCTCTTCCTCTGTCTTTGCCCTTACCTTGTTTTATGTTCTGCATTTATTCCTGTGTTTGTTGGCCTGCCTGCAGAGTCCGATGCTATGACAGCACGGGTTATAGGCTGCTCACTGCTGTAGCCTGGCCCTAGAACAGTGCTGACTCAGGATAAACCTGATGAATGAAAGGATGAGGGAATGAATGGATTCTAAGTATCTACTGACAGTAGTACATCTCTTTTCTGCAGTGATTGGTTGAGATGCTTCAGTATGTTTAGTTTTTAAACCAGAAAATATTCTATTGATGTCTGTTGTTGTTAATTGCTGTCAAGTCAGTTCTGACTCATAGTGACTCTGTATAAGGTTTCCGAGGAGTGACTGCTGGGTGTGAACTCTCGATTTTGTGGTCAGCAGTCCAGTGCGTGTCCTGCAGCACCATACCGGGATTCCATAGTGTCTAGAATGTCATTATTTTGATATATTCTGGTGTGGCACTTGAGATAAGCACTGGATCACGAGGTTGGTTTGAATTGTAAGGACAGTGGTTCACACTCACTACTCTGCTCCTCAACAGTAAGACTTAACCAACATGACAGCACTTAACAACAACAATAAAAGGACTTAAGGTTTGTTGTTAAGTGCTGCCCAGTCATTTTCACCTCTTAGCGAACCCTGTATAGGGTTTCCAAGGAGCGCCTGGTGAGTTTGAGCCTTCAACCTTGTCATTCAATCCAACCTTGCAGTCTAGTGCATTATAAGCCTCAAGATTTAGTAGTTAGCTAAATATCTCTTTTTTCCACCTTCTAGGCCTGTCGATTCCTACGATATACCAATACAAGGAGAAGACTCTTCAGGTTTGCTTCCTAGTGACAGGTATGTAAAACCTTTTGTTATTACTAGTGACGTCAAGGAACGGCATCAAAAACACATCAACTGCTTTAAAAAGCATTCTTTTTGGTGTCTCTCCTTCATAAATATGAAAAAAGATGCTCTTAGTATAACATATTTAATCATTGTATTGTGTATTTTTATAGGAAAAATTGGCATCAGGTGAATTTCCAAAGCTTTCCTAGATATTTTGTACACTTGCTTTAGCTGTTTGTCTTTTGTGGGGTACAAAGAGACCTTACTGGTTTAACACCTGCATATCTCTGGTTGTTAATGGGTCTTTCCCTAATCCTGATACAATACTCTTCTTCATGTGATTGAGTTTTGCTCAGCATATAGATTAAATAAAATGGTGAAAGAATACAGCCCTGGTGGACACTTTTCCTGAATTTAAACCATTCAGCATATCCTTGTTCTGTTTGAACAACTGCCTCTTGGTCTATGTACAGGTTCCTCATGAGCACAATCAAGTGTTTTGGCATACCCATTTTTAGTAATGTTATCTATCCATAGTTTATTGTTATCCACAAAGTTGAAATTCTTTTCATAGTCAATAAAGCACAGGTAAACATCTTTCTGGTATTTTCTGCTTTCAGTCAAGAGCCATCTGATGTCAGAATTGATGTCCTTAGTTCCACATCCTCTTCTGAATCTGTCTTGAGTTTTCTTGCAGTTTCCTATTAGTATTGCAGCCATTTTTAAATTATCAACAAAATTTTACTTGCATATGATAGTAAAGATATTGTCCATTGGTTTCCACATTCCATTGAGTCACCTCTCTTTGGAATGGGCACAAATAAGAATCTCTATAATATAATCAGTTGGTCAGGTAGCTGTCTTTCAAATTTCTTGGCATAGATGAGAGTGCCTTCAGTGCTGCATCAGTTTGTTGAATGATTTCAGTTTGTATTTCATCTATTTCTGGAGCCTTGTTTTTGTTGCCAGTACCTTCATGCAGCTTGGATTTCTTCTTTCAGCACCATTGCTTCTTGATCATATGCCAGCTCTTGAAATGGTTGAACATCAACCCTTTCTTTTTGGTACAGTGATTCGGTGTATTCCTTCCATCTTCTTGTGATGCTTTTTGCATCATTCTGTACTTTACCCTTAGAATCCTTTAATATTTCAAGTTGAGGTTTCAACTTTTTCTTCAGTTCTTTCAGTTTGAGAAATGCTGAACATGTTCTTCCTTTTTGGTATTTTAACTGCAGGTCGTTGTTTTCTCAAGCTGCTCTTTGAAATTTTCTATTCAGCTACTCTGCTTCCTCATCCTTTCCATTCTCTTTTGCATCTCTGTGGTACTTTTGACATCCATTTTGGTCTTTTCTTTCTTTATTGTCTTTTTAATTATCATATGCTTTCTTCCTGTGTGATGCTTTTAGGCTGTAGTCATTCGTGTCTAATGTTCTTGAGATGGTCTCTAAATTCAGGTGGGATATGTCAAGGTCATATTTTGGCTCTCGCGGACATGTTTTAATTTTCTTCAGCTTCAGAATGAACTTGTATTTGAGCAATTGTGGTGTGTTCCACAGTTGACTCCTAGCCTTATTTGGGCTTATGATACTGCACTTTCCCACCATCTCTTCCCACAGATATAGTCCATTTGATTCCCTTTTATTCCATTTGGTGAGGTCCATGTGTATATTCAATTATGTTTTTAAAAGGTATTTGCAATGTATAAATCATTGGTCTTGTAAAGTTCTGTCTTGTGATCGCTAGAATCATTTTTATCACCAACGCCATAGTGTCCAACTACTGATACTTCCTCTTTGTTTCCCGCTTTTGCATTCAGATTGCCAGTAATTAATTGTCACCACATCTTGATTTCAGGATTGTTAAATTTCAGAGTGTAGAAGTTGGTACAATTCTCAGTTTCGTCATAACTAGCTTTAGTTCTTGGTGCATAAATTTGAATGACGGTGGTATTAACTGGTTTTCCTTGTAGGAATATGGGTTTTAGCCTGTCACAGACAGCATTGTATTTCAAGATAGGTATATGTCTTAGAGGCCTTGATGTGATACCTTGTCACTATGTATTATTTATAGTTATACATTATTATATATTACTATGTATTAACATATGGTTATACATTATTATATGTTTGTTATATAATATACATATGTGGTATACCATATACTACTAGGCATTTTTATTGTGATTTTTGCTATTATTTTTGAATCTTAATGTGCCTAGGTAAATGATATTAACATATATATTAGCATATACAGATTTAAATTTTACTATTAGAAAGTCAGGCACTTTCAAAAGTTAGGGAATTAGCTCTTATTACTACTTTGGAGCACAGGTATCATATCATAAGTTACTGACTTAAAGTGGCCAGTGGTTACCCTAATGCCTGGAAAATTGGCATTGTCACCCCCAAACTGCATATAAGTGGGATATGCTGGTTTCTAGTATTCTGATGACATATGCTTTGTACAGCCAGATAAGATTGAGGTCTAGAACCAAGTGAAAGTGAAAAAAAACTAGTTAAAAAAAATTATAGGCTTTTAATCGTTGCTCAAATGGGAGAAGTACTTTCATGCTTATATTGTTGTTGTTGTTCAGTGCCGTGGAGTTGGTTCAGACTCAGAGCGACCCTGTACAGGGTTTCCGAGGCTGTAAATCTTTACGGGAGCAGAAAGCCTCATCTTTTTCCCATGGAACAGCTGATAGTTTCGAACTGCTGACCTTGCGGTTCACAGCCTGATTCGTAACCACAATGCTATCAGAGCTCCTTATGCATATATTTATTAATGCTTATACTAATTTCCAGCGGCTAACTCTTCCCTGCTTTGTAGTATCACTCTTATCTGCTAGTTAGTACAAGTTGAAAAATTCCTTAATTTCTAGGTAAATTACAGTTCTCAACAGACATAGAAAATAAATACGCTTCTTTAAAAATATTCTCTGTGGTGTTTTTCCATCATAAATATGAAAAAGATGTTAATAATGTGGCATATTTAAAATCTTCTGTGTTTTAGGAGTAAATCCAGATCCACTACTGAACTGGATGGTTACCCTACAAATAAAAATGGTAAATGTGATTTCTTTTCCATATTTTTTCAGTACAATAGTTTGTTTTTGTTGTCAAATGACTATATGATTGCTGATGTTAAGGTCAAGATATTTCATTAAGACTACACAATTGAAATACTTGCTAAGTATTTTTAGCAGTTATATATAAAGCCAACAAAACATAACTGTTTATTTTATGCTTACTTTGGCTTTGCTTTATCATGGAGATATTAAGAGGTGATTAAAATGATTCCTATATAGCTAAGGAAATATGTAGAAATTTTGCAAAGTGAGGCAGATACAATTATATACATTAGATTGCATTTTGCAGCCAAGGACATTAGACTGCCCATAGAATTTGGGTAAAATTTCTGCAGGCAATTAGAGAACTCAGAAATTCTTTTAAGAATTTGAAACTCCACAGGAAAATGCCAAAATATAAAAAATTCAAAATGGTGATATTTCTAACTTGAGAAAAATAATTTGGAACCTGAAATTGTTTATGTAAAGTGCATTTTAGAGGAAGACATGTAACTGAAATCACATAGCCAAAAAAACAGCACTTCTAAGCAGTTTAGCATTATTTTTGAGTTTGCATATGCAGATGTGTATGGTCCCTGGTCCATCACCTAAATGACTGAGCTGAACCTGATGAACACACCTAACCCCAGTGAGCAGCAGCTGTCCAGCCTCAACCATGCAATATGGCGAGGGAAAGCCTATGAAGGGTTGGACACTCTGATGTAAAAGAAAAGTAAAAAACCCTGAGTTTTCATATCTCAAACATTTTAGAAAGGCCAAATTTTCTTAAAAAAAAAAAAAAAAGACTGATAGCCAATCAACATGTTGTTGTTGTTGTTGTTAAGTGCCATCGAGTCGGGTCCGACCCATAGCGACCCTGTACAGGGTTTCCGAGGGTGTAAATCTTTACGGGAGTAGAAAGCCTCATCTTTCTCCCGCGGAGCGGCTGGTAGTTTCGAACCGCTGACCTTAAGGTTCGCAGCCCGATTCGTAACCACTACGCCCAAATGGTCTGGTGGCAGCTAGTTTGTAACCTTTGATTCTGATTCTTGAGTAACTTTGTGAGATAAAGAAGTTCCCCATAGAGTTTCTAAGGGTGTGAATCTTTTTATGTTTGCAGACATCTTTTCTTGTGGAGTAACTGGTGGGTCCAAACCATTAGTCTTTCAGTTAGCAGCTGACCTCTTCACTACTGTACCACCATGGTTCTTTAACCTCTGGTGAAGCATATAACATTTACAGTTTCTGCCAGGATGGTTATTGTCTTTGTTTCTAGTTCTCCTATAACAGAAATACCACAAGTGAATGGCTTTAACAAATAGAAATCTAGTCTCTCACAGTTTAGGAGGCCTTGTCCCCTTTCAGCATTTTTAGGCTCAGCAGTCCTTGGAGATCACCATATGTTTTGGCATCAGTTTTTCCTGAATTTAGATGCTTCACAATGCAATGACCTAAAAAGTCCAAAGGACACATTTCACTCCTGGTTCTTCCTTCTTGGTGGTATGGTAGCAGGTTCCTCTTTCTCTCTTGGCTCACTTCCCTCTTCTTTTATATCTCTAAAAAGCTTGACTTAAATACAGCCTAATCCTGTAGATTGGCCTCGTTGACATCATAGAAGTGAGGATTTACAACACATATGATCATTATATCCAAGTCAAAGCTGATCACATCCAGTCATATCATGGGGTTGATTGTATTAACTCTCCCTGTGGCAGTGATAACTACATCATAGTTGCTAAACCACTGAGAATTCTGCCTAGCCAAGTTGACACAACACCATAATTGTTACAGTTATATGAGCACCCTTTCTTTACACACTTGTTGCGACTCATAGCAACCCTGTATAGGGTTTCCCAGGAGTGGCTGGTGAGTTTGAACTGCCAACCTTGAGTTTCAAACTAACCTTGGGATCTAGTGCTTTTCCTACAGCACCCTGTACCATCCCCATAATTGATTGTGTTTCTGATCAGATATTATGATCCATAAGATTTGTATTGGCTGATTTTTGCAAGTAGATTAACAGTGCATTCTTCCAGCCTGTCTTTGTATGAGACTGAAACCTGCTCAGCACCATAGCAACACCCATGCGTCCAATGACAGATGAGTGTGACTGCATGTGAGGTGATTGATTGGGAACTGAATCAGGTCTAATGCATGGAGGTTGACAATTCTTTCACTGAGCCATCACTGCCCTGAACATGTCCCCTGTTGTTGTTGTTGTTAAGTACTGTGGAGTCGGTTCCGACTCATAGTGACCCTGCACAGGGTTTCCGAGGCTGTAAATCTTTAAGGGAGCAGAACGCCTCATCTTTCTCCTGCGGAACCAATGGTAGTTTAGAACTGCCGACCTTGAGGTTAGCAGCCCTTCATAAACCACTACGCTACCAGCTACTATTAAAAACATATTGCTTAAGTACTTCATTCTTTCAGGAAATATTCTAAACTTGCTCTAACTTTATTCTTGCCTGAACTTAAACTTGTGATCTGTTAGTATTGGACCTGTACATCTGTGGAATTATGTTAATATTTGTTTTATAACTGGTTGTTGTTGTTGTTGTTAAGTGCCATCGAGTCGGGTATAACTGGTTAGTTGTGTATATTTCCTCCCCTTTACCAGTGAATTGCAAGCTCCTGAGTAACAGACACTGTGATATTATTTTGTAATCTCCCCAATGTTGAATACACTTTTCTCTATTTGGCATGCTCATTTGCTTACACCAATCAGGTACTTTTAAAGTAGAAAGCATTTTATTTAGATTATGATCAAATTGACAAGCTGGATATACACACAAATGTAAACACAGGTGTATAAGAAACTTTTGGGTGGCCTTGCACATTGCTTACTTAGAAGATGAACTAGGGCAGCAACTGACTTTAAAATTGAGAAGAATGGCAATAGCAGTGGATCAGGAGATTGAGAGAAAAGAAATCAAATGCACGCGTTTGATTGACTTGATTGATGTAACTTAGGAAGAAAGGGGAGACTGGAAGAAACTGTATTCTAGGTTAGTGTTTGTAGACATAATTTTGCCGTAGTCAGCTTCCTTCGTTTTGCTGAGTGTACTTTGTGGTGTTCTTCTGGCTGTAGCATTGGAATTTCCATGAATCAGAGACTTGGAATTGGCTGCTTTCTGTTGTCATGCAGCAGCTCCGTGATAACTGATCATGTTAACCAGTGTCCACAGCATCTCCTGGTTGGCAATACTGTATTTGAGGATTTATCCATGATCACTTTTTTATGTGTGGATCCTGAAGCTTTTGATGTATTGTTAATTTAGGAGGCAATAAGTATTTGGACCGGATTGGGAGCAGCAGCACTTCACAGAGGAGCTCCAAGAAGGAACAAGTCCCATCAGAAGCAGAGTTGGAGAGACAACAAATCCTTCAGGAAATGCGGAAGAGAACATCTCTTCACAATGACAACAGTTGGATCCGACAGCGCAGCTCCAGTGTAAATAAAGAGCCTATTAGTTTGCCTGGAGTGATGAGAAGGTGCGAGACATTTATGAGGGATTCCTACTGCTATTTACTGTGAGGCAAATGCATTTCTGGGCATGCTCAGAATTGATGTCGTGGACAGAAGAGATGTCGTGGACAGAAGAGATGTCGTCATAATTTCTTTTCTTATTTACCTATGGTTACGAGGGAGTAGAGGAGATATCATTATTATTCAAAAAATGTGCCAGTTGATTTGCCTACATCTTCTGGGGCAAGTGTTTAGAGAGAGGGGCAGTTCCTCACTTTTTCCATATGGGGAAAGTAGCTCAAGCAGGGAAGACACTCAGTGGGCCCGAAGGACGTAGCCACTGAGTAGCAAAGCTGGATGTGAGCACTCTCAGGTGGAATCCAGACACAAGTATTTCAGGACGTTCTTAGTGCTTTCTGGAGTGTTGATCATTGAAATAAGATCGTGGAATCATGGTAATACTGTTCAAAAAGTGTGAAAACTTAATTTTTATAGCTTTTAAGAAGATAACTAGATAGTTATGAACTGGTTATAAGTAGATGGATATTTTAAATGATGTATCTTGGAGAAATGAGTGTTACATCTACTCTGAATCAGTATTTTCTCACTGTTTACTAATTAGGTTGCACTGAACGATAATGCACTGTGCTGCAAGGTTGGTTTGAACCACAAGGTAGGCGGTTCAAAACCACCAGCCACCCCTTGAAAACCTTACACAGGGTCACTCTGTGAGTCAGCACTGACTCTATAGTACTAAACAACAGCAACAGCAATACACATTATGTGTAATGCATGACAAAGGAAAGGGCTGGCTATCGCAATATAGCAGTAACTTTTTCAAATTGGTGCAAGTTTTATAAAACTATAGAGAAATGACATGAGAAGGCAGATCATAAAAAAAGAGATACAAAAAGCAATAAGGATGTAAAAACTCAAGTGTAGCATTGTAGAATAGGCACTGGACTATGCTTTAAGGTTAGCCATTCAAACCCACCACCACTCCTTGGATACCCTGTATAAGGTCACTGTGAGCTGGAATCAACTTGATGACACACACCCACAATGGCAACTCCTAAAACAACAGTAATTTACTTGTTTCATATATTAGACTTCTAGAGAGTTAAAAGATTGTTTAACCCCATACTGACAATTGTATGAGGCAATGGGAATTCTTTTGTCCAAATGGGTGGTCAGTTTTCCAGTGTGTATACAGAAAAAGTTTACCATGTGAGCAATTTAGTTTCTAGCACTTTATCTTCTAAATGTATTTGGACAAGTTTGCATAGATAAACCCAAGTATTCATGTTTGTTATAACATAGTTCACAATAGCAAGAAGCCCAAAAAAGGTGTAATCTCAGTCTTATTACTATAGTGCAAATGGTTAATGTGCTTGGATGCTAACTGAAAGGTCGGAGTTCCCGTAGATGAAAACCTTGACAATCTACTTTCATAAAAGTAATTATTAAAATTTCCACAGCACATTTTGATACACACGTGGAGTGGCCATGAGTTGGAGTTAATTTGACAGCAGCTGGTTTACTAGGTGGGATGTTGTTGCTAAGTTCTGTAGGGTCGATTCCGACTCATAGAAACCTTGTATAGGGTTTCAGAGGAGCAGCTGGTGGACCTGTGCTGAGTCTACAGTGCCACATCAGGAGTCTAACTACTTGGGTACCAGTTAAATAAATGGAGGCACACCGCTAAGGTATAAAACATTATATAACTCCTAACGAATGCTGCCTTAAATGTTAGCGGATTACAGCAGTTGTTACCTTTCATAGTTCTGAGGGTTGGCTGGAGAGCTAGCTCTGGTATTGACTGGATACTTGGGCAGCTGCAGTTGTTTAGAGCAGAATGAGGCAAGCTTTTTGTGTAAGGGTCCAAATGGTAAATGATTTAGACATTATGGGTCACATATGCTTCCTCTTTAAAACCTTTTTTTCCCCTTAAGTAACACTTTGAAATTTTAAGGAAATATTTCTAGCTCATGGGCTATATATACAAACTCTGCTGTGCCCTGTGATTTGCTGACCCCTGATTTAGAGGCTCCACCAGGAACTCCGTTGGAGCTGTTCTCCACATGACTGGCTACCACCTGGCATGGATCTAAAGAGGAGCCCTACCAAGAGACCAAGCCTCGATATGCAAGTGATTACCAAGCTTCCATTTGCTGGTCCCCATTGGCCCAAGTTAGTTACCTGGCCATGGCCATAGTTGGTGGGGACCACACAAGGACATGAATACCAGGGGGATTTTTCCTTGGAGGCCTCCAAAATCTAGTCTGTCTTCTGAATTTATATGAAAGTAGTTTCAAGTAATATATGTTAATTAGAAAGAAGCTAGCAATTAAAGAGTATGTGTTGTAGAATAATCCCACATTTTTTTAAGAATACTAAATACATTAGATGATTATACTTATATATGTATATATTCCCATGTGTGAGAATAGGTCAAGTGGATGCAGAGCTAACAGTGGTAAATTTTTCTGGCCATTAGTGCTGGTGAGTTATGGTAAGTGCTAGTGATGGGTTCTAGGTGGGAACTTCATAGGAAAATGAAAAGATCATGTAAATTTTCAGTGGAGTTTTGGAAGCCCCCTCATATCTCTCAGATACTTTCCTGTATGTTTGCATTTTTCTTTTTAATCATAATATATTAATTGGATAACTTTTTTAAGGAAAACAAAAATTTTCAAACCTGAGTTAAGGAAGTTTTAAAAATAATAGTTATAAAATTGCTCATGTAAGGGAAAAACAATTCAGAGTTCTTTTTTTTTTTTTTTTTTAAAGTGAGCATTAATGCATGTCCACATTATTTAAGAGATTTTCAAAAAAGTTCTATTTAAATCAGTGTAAGCTAAATCCTGTTTTAAATGCATATTCAATTAAGGCAGTGATTGGTGAATCCTTCCAAATGTAATATTTAACAGTTGTTTAAATTTATGATTTTGGATGGTGGCCGGCATTGTACATGTGACTTTGAGTTGCTTTGGAGTCAGAAGGCTGTGATTTGAAAGCCAGTTCCTTTACTCACTAGTTGTTTTATCGTGGGCAAGCTGCCTAATTTCTTTGATATTTAAAAGCAATCTCTATAGTGTTATGAGTTGTTAGTTTAATATCTTTTTGTGTGATTGCATCTAACCTAATACTTGTAAGTGCATAAAAAATTTAAAGTTTTAAGCTTGATAACTGTAACTGTTGAATATTGATACCGAGTGTGGCACTGTGGAATCAGCACTGGATTGGGTACCACAAGGTTGACAGTTCAAACCCAACAACCGCTCCTTGGAAACCCTATACAGCGTTGCTATGAGTAGGAACTGACTCGACAGCACTTAATAGTACTGAAGAGATCAATGTCTATGTTTTTAGATTTAGCATTAACTGTATTTTTTTTTTTTTAGTACCTTCCCCCCTCTTCAGGGATATTTCCCTCCTTTGGTTTGTATTTACCTGAGTGCCAAGTAATTAGAAATAAAAATAAATGAAGTTGATTGAAATGTGAAACATTAGTTACCTCTAATGATGAAGAGAAACATTCCTTGTTCTGGATGGTTTTATATATATGTAGGTAGGTTTCTTAGATTAATGCCTGTTTATAAAATACATTAAGTGGCTATTTTAGCAACTGCAGTGATATGTGGGAATCCTTATTGGTGCAGATGGCTTGTATGCTCAGTTATGAACCAAAAGGTTGGTGGCTGGAGTTCACACAGAGTTACCTCAGCAAAAAGTTCCCAAACCTTTGCCATTGAAAACCCTGTGGAGCCAAGTTCTACTTGGACGCAGATGGTGTTGCCATGAGTTGGAATCAACCGGATGGCAATTTTTAAAAAAATGTGTTAAGTAGATTTATAGGTGAATGCATCATACCTATTTTGGGTTATCTTTTATTGTTTCAGAGGTGAATCTCTAGATAACCTGGATTCTCCAAGATCAAGTTCTTGGAGACGGTCCCCTTGGCTCAATCAGCCTACAGGATTCTATGCATCTTCCTCTGAGCAAGACTTCAGTCGCCCACCACCGCAGCTGGTGTCCACATCAAATCGTGCTTACATGCGAAACCCAGCCTCTAGTTTACCACCTCCTTCAGCTAGTTCCGTGACGCCTGTGGCCACAGGTGTGTCCACTGCCCCTGTCCCCACACCACGCAGCCATTCACCTGCCACCTCACAGTCGGGGTCGCAGCTACGGAACAGGTGAGACGCTTCATATTTCTCTGCTTCTTTTCTTAGACTTATAGTTATTTTTTCCCTTAAAATTTCTTCAAAAGCTTGTCCAAGCTTTCCAAATGAAAAAGAAAACCAAAATCTTTTCAGTGTGCCAAGTTCTGTAGTATTAATTTTTAAAAAATCAATTAAACTAAGAAGGAGTTCTTCCTGCTTTTCCATGCTACCCTAACGGCATTTAGGAGTTTTTTTTTTTTAAGTCACTGTAGACTTTTCAAGCATCTTCTTTATTGTCACTGTCTCATTTGCTTGTGTTTGTGGTCAGTCTGTCGTAGATATAGCTACACATGAAGAGTCTTTAAATGTGGCATCATAAAAGCGTACAATAAGTAGCTCATGAATGCTTTTCACATTTATGAGTCAAAGTTGTATTGCACAATTCTTGATTATTTTGATAATTGTTATGCAAACAGATTTTATAAGAAATGAGTATAAAATGAAGACTGCATAACCGTGTCATGTCATCTGTGATAGTTTTAAGCATCTGGATAAAAAGAATGTATTGGGTAGATTGGACCTTGCTTTTTGGGCTTTTGACTATCAAGATCACCACTTGTCTCTTCTTTCTTTGGCTGATGTTTTATTCAGTCTTCATTAACTGACTCTTTTGTGTGTCATATATTCTGTAAGAGTAAAAATGCTATGATCAGCACCAGAAACTTGTCTTTTGATGTGGACGAAGGCACAGATATCACAACGTGTTAGGGTTTTAGAACTGTGCAGCTTCTTCGCAGTTCATTTGTGTTTCATGTAACTACATCCAGCAATGCTTCTGCTGTCTCAGAAGTGAGTTTGCTATTGGCATCTATTGCCTTTCATCGTAAATTAAGTTCTTACAGGTAAAAGCGCAGTGATTAACATCAGAGCTTTGGTTTTAGCTACCAAATAAGGGATTTTCATGAAGCAATGCATTTTATACCCATTCAAAATATTTTGACATACACCAATATGTACTTAACAGATATCTGGGAGTTTGGATGGAGATAGGAAGAGGGTGGTCAGGATATATGGTGTAATTTGAGGGGAGACGAGGAGAGAAAGCAGAGGAGAAGTTATTTACCAGCTACTTACTGAGTGCCCCACTCTAGGAGAGCAGGTAGAGACAGACTATGGTCTTTTCTGCCCTGAGAAGGAAGTGGCGCTCCAACATCATGTTCTCAACATCTGTCGCTCACTCTTCAGTGCTTCCAAAGTGCTGCGCTGTACTGTGGGGGTGCAAATGTGAGTATGAAGTAGCCTTCTCACCTGCAAGAGGAGAGAAGATCCACACTCCCCATCACTTAGAGACCCTCCTTACCTAGCTAATAGATGGTTACTTTGAGCCAGTTTTCTTTTTATTCCCTTCAAAGGCCAAGAGTCAGGAAAACATGAATGCCTCTGTTTATCTAGAACAGAGGTGGGGAATCTTTTTTCTGCCAAAATTTGTAATATCATTTGTGGACCATACACAATGATCCGCTTAAAAATTAGCCTGCTATATTTGGTCAAACATTTAATTATCTCACCCCTAATGGGGTTCATTCTGTTGTGCTCTGAGTCAGTACCAACTTGATGGCACCTACTAACAACAACAATGTGATTACAAACCAGGCTGCTAACCTCAAGGTCAGTAGTTCAAAACTACCAGCTGTTCTTCGATAGAAAGATGAGGCTTTCTGTTCCCATAAAGATTTACAGCCTCGGAAACCCTGTACACAGTCACCGTGAGTCAGAACTGACTCCATGGCACACCACCACGACCTCCAATGTGGTTGGAACTGTGATGGCCGTGACAGGGCCAGACCTTCCCCACCCTGGTCTAGAATATTGAGTGAATAAAAAAGAGGGAGAAAAGTAAGGCTGAGAGAGTTGGTTGTAGAGATCTTCCAGTGCCTCAGGATGGAAATTGGGCTGATCTTTTGAATGGCATGATTAGAGTTGTCTTAACAGGTTAGATTGGGAAGAAGACATGGGTTGGGTTAGAGGAGGGAGAACGGGCAGTGGGCAGACACAACCGCTGGGTACAGAGATGTATAGAAATTGGTGCGGAATGTGGACCAGCTTCATTGAAATGGTGCAGTGAGTTAATAGGGGGCAAGGGTCTCTGAACCACCCTGGAGATCCTTCAAGCTTGCAGTATATTCAGACATGCTTTGATTGACTGGGGAAGTTTTTATCCCAGTGATACAAAGAGTCTTTCAGAAATTATCCTTACTGTTATATCCATGGGCTATTGTCGAGAACAACCCTGAGCCGCACGGTTGAGAGCCTCCTTCCCTTCTTGTTCCACATCTAGGTCAGTCAGTGGGAAGCGCGTGTGCTCCTACTGCGGTAACATTCTGGGTAAAGGAGCCGCCATGATCATCGAGTCCCTGGGTCTGTGTTATCATTTACATTGTTTTAAGGTGAGATGGAGACCAACAGCCTGCAGGCCTGCAAAGCTTTGCTAGGAGAACGCATGGCTTCTTTGAGCTCTGGGTGTGGGGTGTGCTCTAACACACAAGGTGTTCCCCCATCAATCTGCTGTGCTTTGAGTCACAAATTGCTGCTCTTACATGGTTCTCAACTCTAGTTTAAACAACGAAATCTACAAAAGTTGTGCTGTTCTTACTGACTCGGGAGTTTATAAGGAAGATTGTTGGAAACATTGGAACCCTGATGACGCATTGAAACCTACCGCCTCAGAAACCCGATGGAGCAGTTTTCCTGTGTCCTATAGGGTCTCTGAGTTGGGACTAGACTCAATGGCATGGAATATTTACTTTAAAAAATATTTACATGCAAATATGCTTACAATTACACAGGCTGCTTACACTTGCTGGGATTTTGCACCTAAGAAAGAATGAAGGCTGTGACTGTTTAGTTTTGCCGTGTCTGTCTTTATAGACACGTGTGCTTGATTCTTTAACTTGCATTCAGCTTGACAAGGATTTCCTGCAGGCCACAGCTCATTTCAGTTTGTACATTGCTGACTTGGGTTGTTCCTAGGCAAAACAGAATAAGTCAAAATTATTTCACATTTCAGCATGTGGAACCAAAATATCCAGCCTTGAAGTGAAGGCGCCATGTAGGAACACTGGGTGTGTTCCATCCCAGTATCGGGAGACAAAATTCCAGTCTTCATTCACTTTGGATGGTTCTTTCATGGAGTACTTTGCCCTCTTTTATGATCCTGGAGGACAATGAAGACAAAATGTTCCTCAGCTAATCTGAATGATTTCTGCTTTTTAGGTATATTTAGACTGATCATCTTGGCTCTTAAAATTGGCCTTATTAATTCTTGAAATATGTCTCGTCTGGCAGACTTCTGTTTAATCTACTAATTGTCTTTTGGCCTTTTCCTTTTCTTTTTTTTTTTTGCTCTTGCTGAAAGAAGCTGCATTCTGCTTAGTCCCTCGCTCCCCACCCCCTTCCTGGGGACTGCTCCAAGCTTGGCTGAACTGTCTGATCATGGATATTCTCTCCCTTTTTATCTCCCCACTTTTCCCTCTCCCCCACTCAGTGCGTGGCCTGTCAGTGTGACCTCGGGGGCTCTGCTTCAGGAGCTGAAGTCAGAATCAGAAACAGCCAGCTGTACTGCAACGACTGCTATCTCAGATTCAAATGTAAGAGAACAAATCAGAGAGAAAATTTCTTCTCTTTTAAGGAGAACACGGGTGCCTTTGCTTTTCCCAGACCCTACAGTCAGCTCCCCATCTACTTCCCTACCTTAGAATGCCACTTTTTTTTTAGGGCACTTAGTCTTTCTCTTTAGAAGAGGTATAAAGTGAGTGGGGTCACTGCTCAGGGTTCCAGCCGAGCAAAGGTGTGTGGGGGGCTGAGCAGTAGCAAGAGGATGAGCGTGTTAGAGCCAGCCAGGTGATTTGCCACCAGCCCAGGTCTGGAGCAGATGCTATTGCCTTCAGAATACCCAAGACAGTGCAAGTGAGTCTTCAGGTGGATCGTTAACCTATGTGGACCAAGGACTGGCTGGCCCCAACTTCAACGTATGCAGTTCAGCAACCAGCTTTTATTATGTAATTTGGAACATGACCAACTTTAAAAACTATCATTTGGAAAAGTAATAGACAATAAGCAGTCAGAATATACATCATTATAATATGTAATAGCAAATTATTCTAGATAATCTAGTTTTTAAAGGAGCATTTTAATTCTGATCGTATGGTGGTTCAGTTTCATTTTGGGGAAAACCGAGTTTTTCAAAAACTTCAAATGCTATTTAGTGTCTAAGTGTGTTTAATTTGTGTGTTGTAAAACATAAAGCTGGCCTAACTCTATTGCATATTGCTTATAGCTACCCAAAGACAACCATTATTGCTGTTTATATTTTGAGCCTTGATGCTGGTAACATGTGTTTCTTCCTCATTGTGAAAGGGCATTACAAGTGGTATCAGCAAAACAATTTGCTTTTGAACTCTGAGGTATTTATATGGCCCTTTCTGTGAAGAGTGCTTTTGTAAATGACTGAAGCCCAGTCAACTCTCTTTTATCTGTTGGTAAATTCGGAGCCTTTCTACTCCAGCTATCCAGTCATTTCCTGGATGCTGACACTGAGGTTGGAGAATGTCAAGGCTGGGCATATTATGGGGGGAGTGTGTATATGTGTGTGTGTGCCCTTTTCTCTCTTTAATCAAATTCTAAAGCCAAATAGAATTGACTTTTGGAATCACCATTGGAAAACTGCCCATGCCTTTTCTCTCCTCCAATGCAAATAATAGAGAGTTGAGTGTCCTTTATTTCTGTATCAGCAATTAAATTTTATACTTACTCCCCCCCCCCTTTTTTTTTTTTTTTTTTTTTGGCAAATAAAGACTTCTAGAGCCCAGAGGCTGTGAATTTGCCTAGCTTTGTCCTAAAAGTGAGTGACAAGGTTACTCTTTCCACCTTACTGGGCCATTCTTTGAGTGATGACTGCTATGTATCCCAGGTGACGATATTCAAGTGCTATTGAATCTAAGAGCATTTCTTTCTTCTCTCCTTGCCTGATCAGCTGGACAGCCAACCGCCATGTGATGTAAACCTCCATACGAAAGCACTGTTGCAGATAGAAGAAGAGGTGGTTGCTGCTGATGTAGATCTATAAATACATGTTGTATGTCTTCTATGCCCTCATTTTCAAAGAACAATACCCTCCTTGGTTCCTGCCTGTTTAGATTACATAGAAGCATTGTATTCCTATATAACCTGTATTTGTGTTGTTGTTTATTTATAAGAAGGTGATTATGAGTGGGGGGAGGGGAAAGTGCAGTATTTACTTATTTTGAATTCAGCATCTTAAAGCACAAAGGAAAAGATAACATTTTCAAAATATTTTTGAGGCTGACCATGGTCTTGTTTGACTTTCTCCTGTTGTTTTGAAGAGGGTATTTTGTTGTTTTTAAAAATGTTTCTTAAGCATTATTGGAGATAGTTTATATAAATAGGTGATTGCATTTGCTTTGTTTATTATAATGTATACTAAATTAAAGCAGAACCCTATGGAAAATTTCATCAAAATCCACTCTCAAACTTGCTTTTTATATCCTTTTCCCCTGAACCATGTAAAGAAAAAAATAGCTTATGTGACATTTTATTTGCTCGATGAAGGGAGCTATATTTTCTTCACCAGAATTGTTGCTAAGCATTGTCAATAGGAAGCATTTTTTTTTTTTTTCCTGCTAACAAAAAATAACTATGGTTTGTATACCAGAAAGTTTTCTCCAAAAACTAGTGAGCCTCTTGGTTCAACTACATTTGTAAATAAAATTGCTGATGCATTTAATGAGTGCTTTATTTCTGTCTGTGTCTACCTTCCATGTCTTCTGACCATAATTACATGACCTTTCTTGATACTGTGTTTTATTGACTCCTTTGTAAAGGGCTAATTGACATACAACAAGCTGCACAGACATCAAGCACACAACTAGGCTAGTTTGGATATAGGTGTAACTCTCACCACAATCTTGATCATCGTCTTTGCTGAAGCATTTTAATGTGGAACTTCCTTTATTTATATTTTTGTTTAAAAGTTAAATATTTTTTAATGCAGTATGTTTTTAATGGTAAGAGGTAACCTTAGTGGTAAATTGTTGCATCATCTGCATAAAATTCTTCCTCATTTTGGCTCCCTGGTAAATAAAGGAGCCCTGGTGACACTGTAGGATAAGCACTGGACTGCTAACCTCAAGGTTGGCAGTTCAAATCCACCAGACACTCCACAGGAGAAAGATTAGGCTGTTTGCTCCTATAACAATTTACAGCCTTGGAAACCCTATATAGAATTTCTAAAAGAAGAAGAAAATAAGAGAATTTAGAAAACCTATCCATCAAAATATACATTGATTAACACCTGAAATCTGTCCTGGCAATGAGAGAATACAAAACTTTAGCATGATTGGAACAAACTATAAACTTGCTTGGGCTCTTCAAAATTCCCAAGGGGTGGATAATTCTAGCAAATAAAAATTGGAAATACATAATTGAGAAGCTCTCATATGAGAGAAAATTTAAGAATTTAGTCCCAGTTTTTCTAATTTTAGTTCTTAATCTTTTATTTTCTTCTTATTAGCATATATACTTATTGAAGAACCTCTACCAAACACCTCAAAGCATAGAGAATATAGTTCCCCAATTCCAAATACAAGCTCTGATTTGAACTCATTCTACATATAGTTAGTTATCCTGCTTTCTTAATGTTAGGTTCTGAATTTTCAGGCTCTTAAAAAATCATTTATGTTTATCTTCATTAACAGCTGACTAGTACTCTATTGTTTGGCACTCCTGATATTTAGTTGATAATTCTATTATGTACGTTTCAGTTTTTTGTAAAGCTCTATAATGGACTCTGAGTTTTGATATAATAGGTTAAAATAGATTCATAGATATGAGATTTGTGGCTCAGAGATTATTCACTTTAAGAAACTCATGATGCATGTTGCCTCATTGAACTCCAAAAAGATGCTTGGGTTTAGACTCTCATGCCACCCATGGGCTTGTCCATCTCCTTGCATGGTTGCACACTGAATTTCTGCTGCCTTATTCTCTGGATGACATGAGGCAGTCCTCAATATGCATTGATAGATAAATGAATAAATAAACCATCACTTCAATTTCTGCCTTTTTAATACTGTTTATGAGGCACTATAGGATAAGCAGTCAACAATAAGGTTGGTTTGAACCACAAGGTTGGCGGATCAGACTCACCAGCGGCTCCTCAGAAATCCTATGTATGTATGTAAGCAAGTATGTATGTGTGTGTGTGTGTATATATATATATATATCTGGTAGCGTAGTGGTTACGAATTGAGCTGCGAACCTACAGGTCAGCAGTTCGGGAGAAACATGAGGCTTTCTGCTCCTGTAAAGATTTACAGCCTCAGAAACCCTGTACAGGGTCACTGTGAGTCAGAACCGACTCTACAACACATAACAACAACAATATATATACATACACACACATGGTTGCTATGAGTCAGAACTGACTCGATGGCACTTAACAGCAACACCATTAATGCCTCCAGTACAGGCTTTAATTCTTATACTTTTCAATTTTCATATACAACATCCTTTCTGACCATTATCTCTTTTTATTTAAATTTTCTGTTTTAGATCTGTTGGGTTTTCTACTCAGTTTGCGTTGTTCATGGAATTTTTTTCTCTTGTTTTTCACATTACCTTGTTTAGTTTCAAAACTGTTTTCTTCAAAGATACTGGTTCTATAGCACCTTTTCATAGCCCCATGGGTGTTTGTTACATAATTTCAGAATACGGGAAGGTACAGTCATTCTACAAATATTTTCCTGGCAAATCTATGTGTCAGACACTACCTTAGGTACCCTGTTGTTAAGTGTCAACGTGTCGATTCCAATTCATAGCACCACTGTAAAACATTCCAAAGGAGTGACGGGTAAGTTCAAACTGCTAACCTTGTGGTTCAAACTGACCTTGCGGTCCAGTGCAATGAATAAATCCTAAGTCTTGCCTCTGAGGATTGCATATCTAATTGGAGGAGATATCCATGAAGAAATACATGAAAATATAACATGTAGGAGGTAAGGATAATGGAAAACAAATCATCTGAGGAAGGGAGGCTCGGGAGTCCTGGAAATGGAGGGTTCATGGTGCCTTTGTCTGTGGGTCATCAGGGACAGCCTCTTGGGTCAAAGACTGAAGGAATGAGGCAGCAAATCATATAGGTAATTGAGGTAAAAGCATTCCTGGTACAGAGAATAAGTATAAGATTCTTGAGGCAGAAGGGTGTGTTAAAGAAGCGACCGTGGGGTTGGCATGGAATGAGTGAGAGTGAGTAGGAGGAGATGTGGGGAAGGAGGGCACAGGTTGGCAGTCTGTTACTGGACTTAGGCTTCATGTCAGGCAAAAATAGTTTAGAGTTTGTTCAACCTTACCTTGTTTTAAAAACCATCTATTAGATATCCAAATGGAGGTGTTGAGGAGGTAGCCAGCTATACATATCTGGAGTTCAAGAGAAAAGCCCAGACTGGAGACACAAATGTCTAATCCTCCTAGGAATTTAAACAAAAACAAAACAAAACAGGACAACAGTCACCTGGACCCTGGCTAACTAGTAGAGATATCCACAAATGTAGAATTCTATAGCATTAGAGATCAGAGATGTATAAAAGGATCCAATAGGCAGGAGAAGAACCAAGACCCTAGAAGTCAAGTCAAGGTCATGTTTTGAGGTGGGAAGGACCTCTTGTGTCAAATGATACCCAGAGATCTGCTAAATGAGGACTGAGAATTGACTATTAGAGATCCGTTTGTGGCATGCATTTTTCCGGATCAGGCATGTATTGGTGACGGTGAACCTTCCTAGATGTAATCAGATGCTCTTCCTGTACTGAGTACTGAATCCAGTTTCCAGTGCCTGGCAACCTATAACTACATGGCTCTACATTTCTACTCCCTTTCCTGGTGAGATGAACTGAAGGAGAACATGAGTCATCTTCAGGCCACTTTTAATCTGTACCCTTCCCTTAATATATTGAGCTAGAACCACACTTTGTACATTCAAGGCCACCACTGATGCTTCCCCCTCCACCAGCTATCTTTTAGTAGCTGGGAGTCATGGAAAATGTGTGGGAAGAAAAGTACTTGGCAAGAGTACCTTGTGTGATTTCATAGGCAAAGTTGCCAGTGGAGTGACAATTCCACTCAGCAATGTTTTGGTACACATACTTTGGATCTCTTAGAAAAAGATGCTGTCGATGGCATCTGCTTCATTTCAAACTACCCTGGCAATTGATTTAAAATCCCCCCCAGACTCTATCTTTGGATTGCTAGTTTTAGATCTTAGTATTAAGAATGATAATTTTCATTGTCTTCAGTGCATGTTATTCTATTTCAAGGTATGTTTTTGTGTATGCTTTATAGGAAGTTGTTGTTGTTATGTGCCGTGGAGTCGTTTCCGACTCATAGTGACCCTGTACAGGGTTTCCGAGGCTGTAAATCTTTATGGGAGCAGAAAGCCTCATCTTTCTCCCGCGGAACAGCTGGTAGTTTTGAACTGCTGACCTTGTGACTTGCAGCCCGATCATAAGCACTACACTGTAGGAAGTAGGGAGAGGTAAGTTAGAATGGAAAAGAGTAAGTCATTGCCTTAAGGACACTCAGCTTCTGTTAGGGTGATGGAAATTTTTTTTTAAATTGAGAGATGTTTGTTGCACAGCATGGACTTAATGTAATTGAACTGTGTGTATAAAAGTTGAAATAGCAAATTTTTTGCAAACCTGCTGTCTAGGTGCCATATTGGAGCCATGGTGTGGCACTAGGATAAGCACAGGACCCCAAGGTCAGTTTGAATCACAGGGCAGGTGGTTCAAACTCACCAGACGCTCTTTGACAACCCAAATACTGGGTCTCTCTGAATTGAAACAGACCCAATGGCAGTTAACAACAAGAGATGTCATACTAATGCATAAGAAAGTTCTGTTTTAAATTTTCATAAATATTCTTGAAGTGTATCTCTATATATCTTTGCCTTGAAGAGGCAGTAAATGCACATTCTCCAGTCCAGTGTACACATTAGAGAATTAATGAGGGGAGAGGGAGACAATTGTTGGTCATACTCCTTTTAGAATGCTG